AAGTTAACCAGCATACAAGCTAATGTTGCTGTTTCTCTCCCTCTCCTCACAGATCAACCAACACACCCGTTTAAACCAGGCGAAAGGGTCATAATTAAACGTTTGCTTTCCAGGAAAGTTGGCGAAGCACTCCACGGACCACCATGCACTGTCATTGCAGTAACCAGAACAGCTGTTTTGACTAATGCACAACTGCAATGGATACATGCTAGTAGAAAAAAGGGGGGGCCCAGATAGATTGAGTTGTAAATATTTGGTTATGTGTCCCTTTTGTTGTTTTTCTCTTCTTCTCTCACTGTCAGTTTCTCAGGAGCTGATGTGCAGCTCTTTCTGGTTACTAAGAGGGGTGAATTACTCTAGATGGACACCATTAATATTGTAACATTATTTTATTTTATTTTGTGTGCTGCATGCTGACGTGGTTTTCACTAGTCACAAGTTAGTTGACTTGTGGAATAAATGCCTGAGCATGCTCAAATCCACCTGGGAGTGTGAATATCCTACGCCAAAAAGAAATTTGGGTAGGCTGGGACTATTCCTGTACTAATTGGGCCTTGTTGTAGGTTTTTCACCCAGCCCTGGTGGTGGACACTCCTTTTTAAGAGTGGGAATGAAAGGAAATTCAGTGGATTTTCCTAAAAGGAGAATCTTTTTGTACAAAGCTGTTCTACAAGCTAATCAAAACAGTCGTATGTCTGTCAGGACAGAACGTCTTGACCTGCAAGTACAGACGCAATCACGTCTTGTTCAGCTGTGGTTTCCTGTTTCTTTCACACCTCATCTGCATATTGTTCTTTGAAATCTTGTTTGTCTCTGTTCTGACCAACTGCCGGCCATGTCTGCTTCTAAGTATATAAAAAGGCCCTTCCGTTCCAAAATAAATGAGTGTGTCTCGGAACTTTGATGCACGTGTGTGTGTGTCTTTGTTGCTTGCGCACTCCCGGAGCTCAGATGGAGAACAACCAGATGAGAGAGGTCAAGGTGGGATCAGACAGGGACAAAGGAGACCATTTCTTACACTTACCTACAAATGACAAGATACAGTTGGATTTGTGATTTTGTGCTTATTTTGACCATGACCACAGAGAGCAAAAACTTTATGCTATAGTGTGTTTAAATGAGTTTACCTGAGTTTAATGCTTTTTCGCACAGTAATTACACCCACCTATCCAGACACCACTACACCACTGTTTGTTGTCCATTCTAATCGAATCACTCTAAATCCACGCTGCCCGGGCTGGGGCTGAGTTCACATGGTGAAACTGCTTCATACTCTACACTACAAACATATTACAGCCTATACTCTTTCCTGTACTGTAGATATAATACAAACGCATCTGCACTGACTGAGTTTTAATGAGGCTGAATCTTTTCTTTCTGACTGAAGCTTGAAGCTATTTTGTGGAATGTCACTTATTTTGAAAGTTTTTGAGGTTTTTGTATTAGATTAAAAACAGACAACCCCAGTCTGCTGGGGATGCACTTGACCAAAAGTGAGATAAAATAAAGTTTGGTAGAGTTTTGTAGCTCTTGATTGAATCTTTAATAATTGATTTATGTAATTGACAATATGACAAGTTACAGGTTTTATTCTGTTTTCAGGTAATGTATTTAAATAAGAAGTTATTAAATGGTAAAATACTGTAATTACTATCTCGTACTTTCTCATCACTTTATCTGCTTTAATATTTGGTCTGTTGACATATCTGTTGACATGACATATATTAGCATATATGGATTTCCCTTAAATCCAACTTATATTAGTCACATATGGACATACATGACTAAAATAATTTTCAAATATGGGACATAAATTTCAGTCTTATATCAACATGTATAAACGTGTAGCATTTAACAATTGTGGATGGGATGTATTACTCATGCTAGCTTCAGGTTTTATACGTTTTTATTGCACGCATGTTCCTGGTGTTTTTCATTTAGATTTTTTATCTAAATCTAAATCAGTCTTTTGGTGTTAGTAGCAGATATATATCAGACACAGTATATATGTAATCCATGTATTATACATGTTAGAGTTCACCCTTCTGTCAGACTTATGCGTGTGGTCCATATAGCATGCATATATGCCCAATATGTACATACCAATTACGTACATATATTTAGAAATATATGCTTGCTCCTTTATGATATGTGTGCATATATGGCCATATATTAGATTTGTGTATGGGTGTTTCTGGTTTACCTCTGGACTTTATAAAGAACTTAAGAAGTTTAGGGACTCACAGTGCAGGACGGTTCTAAAGAGTCTAAAGTGCCTGTTGGTAGTAGCCGTGCTGAATTTGTGACAGCAGCCGGTTTTTTAACTGTATCATTCCACTGAGCAACAGTCAGTAACAATTCGCTTTATCTTGCGTCTGCTATGTATAAGTTTCTGTTTCAGCACAGAACAAAAGCAGAAAATGTGTACAATAACATCTCTAAGATAATATTTGATCTGCAGCCTGTTTGGTCTGATTTGGAAGGAGAGCGTGACAGCAGGCCTACATCGAATTCCAGATTGTCTTGGATCATATTTTGTTCTGCTGAGGCATTTTGTTGTTTTTTCATGTTAGATGTCTTTTTAGGGTTTTGCCCATTGCTTAATTACAACATATGATGTAACACAACAGTTGAACTGAGAGTGGATTAAAAGATTACAGTAACACTTTATTTTGAGTGGTCCTTTTAGATGAAACAAACACTCTCAGTAACATCTGAAAAACACACACATATGAACTTGAGTGACATCCCATTCTTAATCCATAGGGTTTAATATGATGTCGGACCACCCTTTGCAGCTATAACAGCTTCAACTCTTCTAGGAAGGCTTTCTACAAGGTTTAGGAGTGTGTTTATGGGAATTTTTGACCATTGTTCCAGAAGCGCATTTGTGAGGTCAGACACTGATGTTGGATGAGAAGGCCTGGCTCCAGTCTCCGCTCTAATTCATCCCAAAGGTTCTATCGTGTTGAGGTCAGGACTCTGTGCAGGCCAGTCAAGTTGTTCCACACCAAACTCACTCATCCATGTCTTTATGGACCTTGCTTTGTGCACTGGTGCGCAGTCATGTTGGAACAGGAAGGGGCCATTCCCAAACTGTTCCCACAAAGTTGGGAGCATGAAATTGTCCAAAATCTCTTGGCCTGCTGAAGCATTAAGAGTTCCTTTAACTGGAACTAAGGGGCCGAGCCCAACTCCTGAAAAACAACTCCACACCATAATCCCCCCTCCACCAAACTTTACACTTGGCACAATGCAATCAGACAAGTACCGTTCTCCTGGCAATCACCAAACCCAGACTCGTCCATTGGATTGCCAGACGGAGAAGCGTGATTCATCACTCCAGAGAACACGTCTCCCCTGCTCCCCTGAGTCCAGTGGCTGCGTGTTTTACACCACAAGGCTTGGATGCAGCTGCTCGGCCATAGAAACCCATTCCAAGAAGCTCTCTGCGCGCTGTTCCTATGCTAATCTGAAGGCCAACATGAAGTTTGGAGGTCTGTAGCGATTGACTCTGCAGAAAGTTGGCGACCTCTGCGCAGTATGCGCCTCAGCATCCGCTGACCCCGCTCTGTCATTTTTTACGTGGGCTACCACTTTGTGGCTGAGTTGCTGTCGTTCCCAATCGCTTCCACTTTGTTATAATACCACTGACAGTTGACTGTGGAATATTTAGTAGTGAGGAAATTTCACAACTGGACTTGTTGCACAGGTGGCATCCTTTCAGGGTACCACGCTGGAATTCACTGAGCTCCTGAGAGCGACCCATTCTTTCACAAATGTTTGTAGAAGCAGTCTGCATGGTGCTTGGTTTTATACACCTGTGGCCATGGAAGTGATTGGAACACCTGAATTCAACGATTTGGATGGGTGAGTGAATACTTTTGGCAATATAATGTATGAGGGTTAGGATTAGGTTTTAGGTTGAGGTTAAGGTTAGGGTTAGGATTAGGGCCAGGGTTAGGGTTAGGTTTTGGGTAATGGAAATAACATATTAACAATATATCTACTTAATGTAAGTAATGTATCAACAGTACATCTTCAGGATATTTACTTCAGTGTATTTTTCACAAAAAGAGTTTATTAATCGTCTACAAAGGACCACTCCAAATAAAGTGTTACCGAGATTACATGTTAGAACAATGCGCTGTTGTCTTTAGGATAAACAAGAAAATCCACAGTAGAAGATGCTGGAGAACATTCAGCAAGGTAATCCAACCAATCCATTACAAAGCAGCTATACCCATCTATCCAGATGCTGCTACACCACTGGGTGTGAGTAATTTAAAGTTGCCAGTAATGTAATAAAAACCATGATGTGAAAATTACATGCAGTAATGGTTTACTTGAATGCTCAAAGTACTGTACATACAGTTCAAAAAATGGTAAAATATTACCTCCACAAACTTCATAATCTATCTAAAGTAATACTTCAGAGTGAACAATTTACTTAAGTGAAAATAAATTTATAAATTTGAAATTAATTTGTTTATTTTTCTTAGAAAAAGTGAGGCAATAAGTTTCCCAACGTAAAGTATTCGGCATGTTACAGTTTACAGTGTATTACTTGGACAGGTCAATATCTGAAAATAATGATCTTGTATAAAAACAGTTATCATCTTGTTAAAAATGAGGATTATCCATTATATCCTCACCCTTTTGACACCCCTTTCCTTGCACAGATACATGCACTTCATTCGCTGCAGCTGAGGACTCTTTGGCATCTTTAAATAAAACAGTATATCGTTGCTGCCCAAAGAAAAACGAGTATCTCTAAAACGTAACTTTATGGTCAAAATGACCTTTACTCGCAATATAAGTTAATGTAAAGAAATTTTATTCCACACAATTTTAGAGCATTTCTATTGGTCCAAACATCGTGAAATTTTCACCCAGTGTAAAAGACAGCTGCTGTGCTCAACTGATGCAGGGTTAGTGTTAGGGCTAGGGATATATTTATCCCCAAACTTCTATGCATATTAAATACAGACAGAAAATGCTCCTTTTATTTTTGGTGTACATTTATTTAAAAAAAATTAAATGCAATAAAAAACAGCATCAACAAGCACAAACATATGGAAATATGAAACAATAATTTAGTATCTGCTATATAATAAAAATTCAATATACATGATAAATAGTTAAATATGAACTTAAAATATGACTAAGAATATTTTGTCAAAGTCTGATGAATATCACCACTTTCAACTGATGCAAGCTAAATTCAACTGAACAAAGAACACAATGAAGTTGCACATACATCTTTGAGTACAATAAATGTGTATTTATATCTTGTGAATATAACTCTGATCAACCCACTGTTCACTAATTGAGACCTTGATTTGTGATTTCCTTTGACTGTCTCTGACCCAGCAGATGCTTAGTGTTTTTAAAAAATCTAACAAAATGAATGTGAAAGATGAAAAAGAAGTGCTTATGTAAGGCAAGTAACTTAAAATGCTAAAGCTATTGAGTCACATGTACAGTATATTTGCATATTTAATAGCATTTTCCATTTTACAGGAAAATTCTAAAGGATTTCCTTTACATTTATTGCCGTAAAAAAATAAAGATGGACATAAAAAGACCTGTGTAGCATTTCCTTTCTGGTTGTGTACCCATCATGCTACAATCATATTAATCTAGTCCTTAGTGCCGAACTCAGCACTTCCAGTAACAAATAACTGCCTGTATGAGAAAGCACCAGTGCCAATATACATCCATTCCGAATCCTCCTCGAAGGCACTAAGCTGGTGTGGTGAGGTCAGAGGTCATGATTAAAGGCCACAGATGTTCAGTCCATTAGGGATAAAAAACGTCACTTGGGTGTTGTAAACTATAATGTGCAAGTGAAACGTGGTCTCTGTATTCTATGTTACTCCATTTTCTTCCCACCTTCTTCTCATGACATTTTAAGTGCTAAACTGACAACACTTGTCGACAAATTCAAATTCCATGTGCCTATATATGGTTGACTCTCCACCAGCAATCATTTTACACTCATATGGGCTCTTTTTTAGAGTCCAGACTTTGTTGCATTTTTGAAAGCTACTCATCGATTCAGCAGTAGTAATGTCAGTGTAATGGAGTGAATGTTTAGCCTCTGGATCTGTTTGTTCATTTATCGGTTGGAACTCATCTTGTCTGCAATCCAGGCAGTGTACTTTGTGACACGTGTGTAAACGCCTGGCGTGTCTTTCTTTCCACATCCATCACCCCAGCTGATCAAACCTGTGAGGGTCATCCTGCCGTCTTTTTCACACACCAGAGGACCACCTGAGTCCCCCTAAAATGAGAGAGAGAGAGTCACTTTGTTATTAAAAAGACACAACAGTACCTGAGTGTGCACAGTGGTTTTGACAACCATTACAAGTAGTCACAACTGTTATGATGACTGCATAGGCAGAATTGTCACTCCAGACCCACTTTCATATGCTGGGGAAAAATGATATTGATAAAATTAAAAGTAAGGAATTTTGAGAAGACACGCATTAGTACTGGCTGAATGCTGTTACAGTGAACATGAAAAAGCAAATATATTAGTTTGAAATATTCAAAACTATCAAACAGAAATGAAGAAAATAGATGTAAGTGATTTGATGAAAGTATAATTCAATTTGTTTGCTTTTTTATAAACCTCTATTTTGTAAACTGGAATTATTTAGTTAGCTGATGCTAGCAGGTGTTAGCATTAATATTAGTTATTGCTGTACAGAGCTTGATTTTGTGGGTAAGCTACGCTTATATTTTTGCAGTGCAGCTCCTATAGCAAAAGGCAGCTACCTAACATCCATGGCAAGAAATGTTGCTATATTTTTGTAAGTAAAATCGTGTCAGTAATAAAGAGAAACTAATATTCTAGTGCAGGGGTCGGCAATCAAAACGTTAAGAATAGCCATTTTGTCCTTTCAGCAAAAATCAAACCACCTTGGGAGCCACAACATTTTATGTCCATTTTACCATCTTGGTTGTAAATAAGTCTCAGTATGTGCTAATGTGTTAGTATAAGCTAACAAATTTTATAAACAAAAACACAAGACTTTAAGCTTTAGCACCGCTACAGCTGCTTTTCTTGCATCTCTGGCTGGAAACTTTTCCAAAAGTAGAATAGATTCTTGTAAAATGTTTCTCAACGTTCGATTTTTTAAGAGGACGAGAATCTGGCGAATGAGAATCTGACTTCAGCTTTGTGACTTTTTAGTGTTTGACAGTTTCTCATTGCAAATTAAACGTATCAGGAAACCAGCTGGAGTGCTTATAAATGCAGATAAGTGCACAGTATTTCTCTTTGCCTTTTGGTTAGCTACTAGCTAGGCAAGATTGTTATCTGCATTGCTGTGTGACCAACAGTCTGCATGCCGATCCTCAGGGTTAAAGGTTGGTGAATTAGCAGTTATACGTTAACTTCAGCGTTTAAGATCATTTATTGTTAAAATGGTGTTAGAACAATCAGCAGACCTTTATTTTACTGCAAAGGAGGATTGTTTTATTTCATTATTTACCAAAAATCGAATTCTGATTCAGTAAAAGAGACACAAGTAGCTCCAGATCCGCATGTTGCCAACCCGTGTCTTAGTGAATGTCTAAACTACCTAACTTAATGTCAGCTTTTTTTGTATGTTTATGCCCTTGTACATTTAGGAGAGTTCAGGGCCGTTACCTTGCAGGCATCATCCAGGCCACGTGTATCTCCAGCACACAGCATGTTAGAGGTGACCAAACGCCCAGAGAGTTTCTCCGGCACACAGCGCTCCTGAGGCCACAAACGCACATGACCCCGCTTCACTTGTTCTGAATAGAATGGAGAGACTGAGACAGAGAGACATCATTAGTTGTTTATTGAGATACACTGATCGCCAGTAAAATCTCCTTTAATCTTCAACATATGTAAAGTTTTGTGGGAAGTTTCAGAACAAAAGCAGTGTTTTCTTACACTCTTCTTCCTTGCCATAACCAGAAATCTCACACTCCATCCAGTCTTGTAAAACCAGATTGGGTTCTGGTAAACAGACAGGCAGCACTTCCTGAGAATTGATGGCACAGATGCCATGTTCACTCTTCAGCTTTAGAAGAACTGTGGGGAAAATGGGGCATTGAAGGTTAGAAGTGGAAATATTTCATGAGTGTAACAAGTGATGGGGACAGGGATGAGAGCTTGTAATGTATTCATGTTGTTTCCAAATATAAAGAGTGAACGTATCCTGTATCATGCTGAATAGTTATGTCTTAATAACCTGTTATAAGGTAGCACTCTTTCTTACTAATTTTGGACCATTTTTATTGGTCCTTTTGTAATAAAATGGGCAGCTGGCTGTCATATGGAAAGTAAAAAACAAAGACAATAAAAAATGAAGTTATGAGTAATATACTGTGATACACCTTAACTCATTCTCACCTATATCGTTGTCATAGGTCTCCTCATTGTATTTTTCATGAAGCCAGTAGTTCTCCACATCAAAGATCTGTTCACTGCTCTCGTTCTTCTGCCTGAAAGTTCGGCCAAGGGTGACATGCACACGATCTGCGGTAAATCTAATTTCACACACATAGAGATGCCATTAGTGTATCACCCACTAAGACAGAAAGCTCAAAAAAAGCAGTTTGAGGTTATTTTCTTTGAAAATGTACACAATGTCCAGTTTTTAATAGTGGAAGTATGGTTTTAATTTGTTTTTTTTTCTTAGACCTTCTGTACATAAATTTAGAACAATTTCCTTATTTACAGAAAGATTCCAATAAGGAAGTTGGTCTGAATTTACACATAGAAATCCTAAGAATTAAACTGTAGTTTGGCTCACATGGGAAAGGGAACAGACTCACCTCTCATGGAAGCAGTGGGCTGCAGAGAGGACCCAGCAGGAGTCGATCAGGACGCCTCCGCACAGAAAGCTGTGCGATCGTGAGCGCGGACGATACACAGTGATGGCTGCCTGCCACGGCTGATCTTTGATGTCACTGGCCTGACCGCCTCGTATCCTGAATTCAGGAAGAGAATTGGAGGGCTTTGTAACACGCTGACCACAGGAGCCTAAGAGAGAGAAGTAAAAGAAGTAAAAAGAAATGAAGAAAGAAAGAAAGAAAGAAACAGAAACAGTTCACGGTTAGCATTAAGATCAATATCATTACAAAACTGCAATGATACAAAGTGCCAAAAATTTAACCATCGCAATTGTTTGACTGAAAACCTAAAAATATGGAAATGTTTAATTTTTTTTCAGTTGTAATGCAAATACAGCCACAGACTTGCTATCCATGACCAGTGAACCTACACGTATATTCTGAGTTTTTATATGCGAGGTCGATAATGGTGAAATCAATTTGAAAAAATCTGGAAAAGTGTTCCTTGGGTTCTACTTTTCTTCTCAGCGCCCTGCATATACTTCAAAAATACATTTTAGGTCAAAACCTTATTTTAAAACTATTGTAAAACAATGTTTTAGGCACCAGGCAGTGCCTTTATAACCACTTAAAACTTTTCTGTGAAGTTGCTTTTAGAGGCATTAAACTCTTCAGACATCTGGTTTCTATCACTACCACTTTGAACAATTCTGAAGTTTCTCTAGAACAGAGCATTTCACATCAAATGACTCTGGATTACTTTGTTTTGTAGATTGAAAAATCATAGAAATTCCCCTCAGTGAGTGTCTGCAAAGCAAGAGAAATACCAGATGTTCTATTTTTTTCTCTCGTTCTTGTCTCCTCACCTCGGTTGTTTGTTGTCGCAGGGGCTCTCGGCCCAAGGGTGGTGATGGTGGAGGGTCTCCTCGCTGTGGAAAAAAGGGCAGATGTGATCAGAAACACATACACACCCAACCTTTCTCATAAAAGGCTCAAAAAAACATCTGTCATAAATTAAACCCCTCGCACAAGAAAATAAGACCTCATCTGTGTTCACTTTGTCAAACAGATGATTCAGAGTGCAAGAAAGCGCTCAATTTCATTTCTGGTCATAAGCCAAATAAAACACGAGAGTATCGGATGAAACGTTGGTCGTGAAGTTGTGAGTTGTTAGATACAGTAACAAACACCTTGACACATACAGTATTGTATAACTTGATGTATGCCTCTGTGGTGTTACTAAACTGCTCACAGACTGAACATGTAACAGTTGTTCTTGCTCATTACACAGATGAGCTGTTCTCACATTCTGTCATTATATAAGGAAGTGCGTAATTTGCCTCTATGTTGGTGATGATTACCTCTACTGTCACAAGAAGCAGACTGACCAATGGACCACAATGTAATGTCACTATGGAAATTGGACTTATGGGGTGGACTTACGGCATTTTGTGATATCACACAGTTCCCACGTCAGCTGGGAGCCTTTATAAACGTGACACCATGGACTGAGGTCACCATCCGGGTTCCTGAAGGGTTAAAGAGGTCACACTGAGTGTGTATCTAATAACAGTTTGTTTTTCCTCTAAGGTTTATGACGAGGGTGATTTTGTTACTGCATCATTGGAGTCAATGTTCAAGCAGGAGTACTGTATTATGTAACATGAGGGTGTGTATACACAGTACTGTGCAAATCTGAGAAAGCAATATGTAAAACTATTTATCTGAGCAAAAAGTGTTTATTTGGTTGAATAACAAACTAACACTAACATTAGAATAATTGCAAATAAACAATACATTGTGCGTTTACCTGCAGAAGTTGTGGCTGCCCAGGCCCAGCTCTCCTGCGTCTGGCCTCCAGGCTGTGTAAATCTTGCGGGAAATGGCAGGGGAGTCCCAGGGCAGACACTTCGCTCCGCTCTTAGTGACTGCCTGCATCCCTCTGTATGACTGCCCTGACCCCTTCCGACACTCTGCAGGAGCTAACACACAGACAGCACTGCATTACAGGTGCATGTGACAGAGTGAATACACATCTGTATGTCTATATAACTTAAATAAGTTAAACATTACAGCTAAAAATCTTTATTGTTGCAAGACGCTAACACTGGTATTCCAGTTTTATGCCAGATACAGTCTTGGGTAAAAGTTTGGGAGCCCCTAGTCAAATTAAATTTTTTGTTGCTTTTCTAAGTGAAAATAGGTTAACATCCTCTACAGTGAACACATTTAAATAAACAGTAGTTGTACATTAAAATATGCTTAAGTGTGTTCTCTATAGATGATGTGTACTTATTTTCACTTAGAAAATCAACAATTATGTAATGCAATATGACCAGGGATGCCCAAACTTTTGCATACGACTGTATGCCGCACGGCAATATGTTTTGGCATTAATTAGCATTAGCATTTTATAGTTGTGAACATATTGTGAGCAGCTGCTTTTCACGCAGAGAGAGACAGTAAGAAAGTGAGTTTATTTTTTGTGTGTGTATGTGTGTGTGTGTGCGCGTGTGTGTCTCACCTGTTGTACAGTTTGGCACAGAACAGAACTCCCATGTGACCTGGGACTTTTTAACCACGTAGCACCACAGCTTGGAGTCCCCATCTGGATTCCTGAACAAACATGTTTTTCTTTTGTTTACTGCAGCATTCATACCATTCCTGTTTACAGTATTCTACTGTATTATTTCAAACTGTCTGTATACTGATTTGACTGTAAATGATAAATGATCATTTACATCAACAGCAGAATCAGAACTGTACATCTTTTTTTGTGACTTTGTGTGTGTATACCTGCAGTAGTTGTGATTGCCCAGCCCCATCATGACAGCCTCTGGTTTCCTGGCAGTGAATTTTTTGCCTCTGAGTGATGTGGAGTTCCAGTTTATGCACTCAGCGCCAGAGCTGGAGATGCTCCATGTGCCACGATAACTCGTCCCCAACCCAGTCGCACACTTCTCATTCAAATCTAAGAGAAAAAAAGGATAATGCAGCTGCACTGTAAAAACAAAGCTACTTGACTTGTGTCATTTATCTGTTAACATTATTAAATACAAGAGTAGCTCTCTGAATATGAGAAACACGAATCATTCCACAAAACGAAAGCCGTTTATATCTATAACATTTAACGCTATGTACAACAAAAAATGTTTCTCAAGCTTAAATATATGAGTTCAAAGGTCATTATTAACATTGTGTATGAAAAAATGTTATTGCAAGTAATCAAAATATGTGGATTATTTTTTTTTTTTGTAAGAGCAATGTTATACTAAAACTATGGAGGACAAAAACAATTGCATCACATGACAATATGGATTTCTTCCGTAGTCACAATAAATAACGTTTAAATAAGGGTAATACAGTTACTTTGCTTGAAAGAATCCAAATAAATACAAATATAACTGTAAGGATGTTCATTGCAATTGCTTTTATAGAAGTATACTCTTTTGCAGCCAGACTGGTTTCATTGTATTTTTACACATTGTGTATATGTTGTGTGTGCACTCACTGATCTCGCACTGATCTCCAGTAAAGCCTGGTGGACACTGGCAGATGAAGTCAGTCGAGTACACCGCCTCCTTACACGTCCCTCCATTATAACATCTTGACACATAACATGCTGCAAGGAAAAAAGAGAGATAGCTTTATAAAACACTGCATTTACTCACACTGCACATTCTGACTCCATATATGCAGGCTGTATTTACTGCAGTTATGTAGCTGCCAAAAGGCATACATTAAATAACAATGGCATTACAAATTGCAGACATAAGACACATAATATATAATCATTCTACATTCATATTCATATTACTCTGAATTAATGCAACACTTTCATTATCAACCTTTTCAAGCACACACTGAGGTTAAACCACAAGACAGTATGTTTCACATTAGTTTGTGACACATATGTGCCAAATTACTCTGTCATAAAATAGGTGGAGTTCTAAAATTTCCTTCTGTCTCACTCAAAACATACACCCACTGTGATGAGCACACACAGACACACACACACACAGGGAGTAACACCATCAACAGCACTACATTAAACATACAAAAACCATGCATTTACAGTACAAAATACTAATCTGGCCACAGCCACTTTTGTGAGAGGCTAGGCATCCAAGATAGCATAATTGGTCTCGCTCTCTCTGGGTGGGTAGGATGGCCCTCCCTCTCAATGCAAAATACTAGCTAACACAAGCATCTGTTAGCTGATGTAACAGAATTGGCAGTTAGCAGTGGAAACTGGGCACTGCTAAATTGGGGAGTAAACTGGTAAAAATACAAACTGCATAGATACCAAAACTGATACCAGTTTTAGGGGGCTGAAAATGACAAAAACCTAAAATGTAATTTGTGTATTTCATGTCTGTCTTTCAGATTTTAATTTTGTATGTGAACAGTTGTGGTTAAACGGTGCTTTACTGACTGATATACTGTCGGCTTTCAGTTGTCGCACTCTTAAACTCACAATCTTAAATAACATAAATATTGTATTGTTAGGAGTGAAGCTATCCAGAATTCTTTGCAGTTCTGGTTTCTATTTATTACCTCTTTTTTCAGTAGTTCTCTTCATAAAACATGATTTTGTGACATAAGATGTTATTCTTATGCTAAATGTCAGGTTTGGATACATTTAATAATTTTAAATGTTATTTTAACCATGACGGTGAATCCCAGCAATGCCATGACTAAAAATTAGTTGTTAATTATCAGCACATTTGCTGATACAGATCAAACACAGGTTGTCAACACTGGCTGATGTTGTTAGCCGACTGATATATCAGCCAGGCCCTACCATGATCTCTTAAAACATGAACAAGCTGAATGGATCATGCAGGTTCTTCACCTTAAGAACCATTAACTTAATGCTGCAAAGTTTTGATATGGACAGTATTAGTTGTTGGCTGGACTGGACCGTGTAATCAGTCAAGATCAATAAAAAATGTCTTCCTCAAGTGTGTTTGTGTGCACATGTGGAAGAGTGTGAGACTCACTAGTTATAGGTATGTAGTGACAGCGTGTTCTTCCTCTCAGGGCACAGCGGCAGTACTCCACTCTCTGACCTCTCCATCTCAGCCACGTTTCCCCTAAATCTCTGACCGCAGCCGAGTCCGAATCCACACAGCGGTCTAACACACACACACACACACACACACACAACACAGACGGATAGACAGACAGCCACACATGCAAGACAGAGACGGTCAAACAGACAAAACCACTGCAATCAGACTACATCTATGACAATGACTTTTCTGTCCAGCAACAAAGACTATGGTAGTAACAGTCATTTATGGATGGGAAAAAAGAAAGAGACAGAATGAAAAAGAGCACAAAGAGAGACAGAAAGAGGAGGCAATATGAAAAAAATATAAAAAAAGAAAAGGCACTAAGCTGGATGAATGTGAGGATTGTTAATTGTGGAAATGCAGGCTGGTCAGGCACCACCCACTGTCCACACCAGACACAGCTGGAGACGTTGCTGCTCTTTACTGTGCGTATCAGAGTATGTGTGGATTGGATAGTCTGGCTCCCTCTAGTGTCCACAGAGCTGTCTACACCAGTAAGGCCCAAATTGGACACCCTATCATTGACAGCAGTGGTGTAACTGGCTGCAGTTAATGAGGGTCAAACATACTGGGTCATGTAGCACATGGGACTTCGTCTTCATTGAACTCCTAATGTCTTTATGTTACTTATACAGTTTTACGCCCATTAGTCATTGCCAGATATGATTACAATATTCTTTAATTGTTAGCCTACATTACTTGATTGAGACATAGGTACAGTTATTAAAAAGCAAATTACATTGTCATTGTTTATCCACTGAAAGTCATTTTAATATGGGGGGGTCCATTCATTCAACAGCGTCCATAATTTTTTTCCCAACTGCTGCTCAACTATTGTTACATTTTTTGTTCTATTTGGTTTATTTGGTCTAGATAATTCTATTGTTTTTGTTTTTAACATGAATTGAAATATTCCTTTATTTTTGTTAGTTATATGATTGTTTTTTATTGTATGTTTTACATTCTATGTTTTGTGTTTTCCCTGCACCTGCATCAGATCGTTAGCCCTCAAGGACTAAAATAGACAAAATCTAATTTATAATGCCCTTTTTTTCATAACTTTATTTTTGCCTTTTTTGAGGTCAGGGGCATGGCCATAGTTAGTATAAATAAAGGCCATTTGTATTACCAACAATGCAGTGGGCATCCAGTCTTGTTAGCGTAATGTGTTACAGGTCAGTGTAATGAACAGTAGATGTTGATGCTTTGCCACTTCGCTCTGTTAGTAAAAAGTGTTAGGGTTCAGACATCAAGCAGTCAAAGACGTAACTCACCTCTGAAGCTGCGTGTTCCTCTCCTCTCTCTGTGAAGCTGCTCCTGAGAACAAGAGAGAGAAAAATGGTTTATTTTAACATTTAAGAACCAAAGTCACGTAATTATAGTCTTAATCATGGCCATTCAGGTTTACCGTGTTAGCTAAAGTGCAGTAGAGCACAGGCAGCAGCAGCAGCAGTTTCATTGTTGCACTCATGATGTGGGTCAGGCCTCCAGGTGAACTGATAATGAAAGACACAAAAACATCATTAAAGAAGGGACTTTCTGGATAAAGGCAAGTATTTTGTGTGAGAGAGAGACTTTGCGGGGAGTTTCCAGACTTGCTGAATCACCACTAAGCAATTAATTTGTTTAAGTTAACGTTGACTCATTGCTCACGCACACACTCTCAGTCACTCAGCAGACACACAGCTGTCAGCTTTCTCCTCAACAGACTTCAGACTTCAAAGGACCACAGATTTAAACCAATGAGGAAATAAAACAATACAGCTACAGCATCATATTATGCAGAACAATACTCGGATAACACCTCATCGTGGGCACACACACAAACACACACATACACCCCACATACTGACACACAACTGCCTCCTTCCCACTCTTTATTTCTGCCTTGTGTCCATCCTGTATGCACACTTCAGCTACTAAGAGCAATTCCTCTATATCTGACTTTGATTTCGGTTGAAACCATAGGCATTCACTTCACTAAATTTTGAAGAAATTCACTACATTGTGATGATTTTCATGCAAAAATGTCACTCTAGGTCTTCTGCAGGTCCTAGATATGTCACCGATTATGGACACCAGTGGCAGACTAAGTAGGTTTCAGTCATTTTTCAGAAATGGAAAACAGCAGTACTTGTTCTAGCTCATTACTACAAGAGTCACCGTAAAACTGCTACATGCAATATATGTTAATGTGTTATAAGCTTCAAATAAAACCAGCATTAGTTTAGTGCTAACATGCTATTCATAATCCCATAATCAGGATAGCAGAAATTATCAATACTGAAGATGTGTTTTCTTTTTTTCCCAAGATTTAAAATTCATGGCCGAAACTGGCCTAACTGTAATACACCCGATGTTCCGCTGGTATTTTAATATGTGCTCTAACACAGCTGTGTTGATATAAGATACTGAAAAACACAAACAGGAAGAGACCCTCTTAAACCCTTTGCTTTCCTCAAAACCATACCTACTCACGCAAAATGCAAATGCACACTCATCTCAAAATCTATCTTGGCCCGTACCCTAAGCAGATCCACGGAATTTCTTAAAATTACACATTACTGTACATCCCTAAACATTCTAGTACATTTGAAGTCATAAATAGCTGGATAGATGAAGCAGCCTGGGACAGCAAATCAGGTCAGCAAAGTGAGTCAGCAGGAAACAAAAAGAGAGAGAATGTAAGCGGTAACCACTGGAGTTGAATGATCGTCTGGAAGACACACACACATAAGTGTGTAAACACACTCACATGTTACTCCAAACTTGTGGTGCATTTTGCAGCTCCTTTTTACGGTAAGGATGGGGTTATAAAAACATGACCCATGTCTCATAGTGAATATGTGTGTGTGCGTGTGCATCAGGCTGATGTAAGTGCTGCATGTTTGACAATATGCAGCTCTGCGGGTTTGACTCATTGTCCAGTTCCAACTCAGCAGCAGTGGAAAGCTCTGCAGAGTGTGTGTGCAGAACAGCTATTTAAACTAAGGTTACTACAAATTAAATTAGTAATCTAATAATTATTTTGATGATTAACTGATTAGAAAGAGAAACGTGCTTAACTGAAGAATGCCATGCAGAGCTTTTCAATGGCTCCATACATTTAAATTGCTTCCATACTTAACTGGAACAGCTAGACTAGAAAGCCTTTTTCTGCAGAGCCACAGAAGCCATTCCCCCAGCAAAATGGAAATTGACTATTTTAAATATAATCAAATTAAATATTTTTCACCATAACTCTGTTAGCAGATGAACTAGGACACTGTTAGCTCTCTGTGTGTGAAATGTTGCACAGCTAATGAGCAATGAGGAGTGAAAGGGGGATAAGAACTGCTGTGAAAATATTTCATACCTCTTAATAAAATAATAAGCAAAAATGTAATATATTATAGACAGAGAACACTTAAGAATAAAGAACACTTTTATAAATGTTGACTTGCTCGCTCACTTATGAAGACGAACAGCCAGTCTATCTCCAGTTTGGTAAATCATATTTTAAATCATACACATGCATAGTTCAACTGAAGGACCTCCTCAAAAAAGGAGGAAAAGCTATTGTGAGAAGAGATTAAAAAGACTTCTTTTAAAAAATGTATTGTGTAGGTTGTTGTGTCTTTCAAGCTGTTTCTTACTATAAGAGAGACCAACAGAATCATTTAAAACATGCATTATCATCACATGTAATCACACTATTCATCATAGATGCAAGAAGATCAGTTTTAACTGCTAACATTTTTGAATCCAGTGATCAACTTTAGTCAAGTAATCGTGACTCTATTCCAACAGATCAGTTCCGGCATATCAGCAGACACATTTTCAGTGATTGTCAGCAACACACTAACAATCACTTATGCATTCAGGCACTCAGTTATGCTCTTTAAAGTTTGACTCTCTCTCAAAACACTAAGAAAGCAACAGCTGTCAGGCCTGATATTAACCACTAGAGTGCTTTCTTCCTCAGGGCTAACGATTGGAAACTCAAAGGATGACTTTGCAGAATGGAATGAGATCCTCCAACCAGCCAAGTTAAGGCATGTAGCACAGCAGAAGTAATTTCAATCTAAAATTGAAGGATCCTTCACATTCTTTTCACCATTATACAATCTTTAGCTATGCTTATCAACATGTCTCAAACTGTGTGCACCTGGGATTATTCTCCGTGACACCTAACATCCTGTGTGCTCTAAGTGTTAGCCACAAATCTATCAGAAATAAAACTGTTCCTCTTTCATGATTTCATTATTTTTCTCTGGTGATTTTGCCACCATGTACTTGCACCTAATAAACTCTTCGATCAGAAATCATGAGGCAGTATCTGGAGTGATGTGATAAAGAAGCTTGCTGTGTCATGTCAAAGCCTTACAAACAGGAAAAGGAGGGAAAATTCGATTAAATTTTGTAACACATCTAGCATGTAATATCACAGACTTGCTTATAATGCAACATAACATAAAATTAAATCAAGCAGGTTACGTGATAACAGCACTAATTATTTGTAGCCTAACAATAACATATGAACAATGATCAGGTGGCTACTGATAATACTGCAAAAAATGCAAATTCGCTAGTGTTTCATGTGCTCATTTAGCCCCTAGAATGTGAGCTTCAGGTAAAAAAAGACTAATAATCAGCCATCAGACTGTAAATAAACTGGAATTGACCATAAAAAATCATGATCAGTGTGCAATAGTTAATAAACATTAATAAGACAGCAATACAAAGTCTTCATATGTGTTTTGCACGTGCATATGCATCTACACTCAGAAACAAGAACAGTGCACAGTGTGGCATTTGCTTGTGGGTATATGTTCAGGAAAAACATACATCCCAGACAGTTAATTGAGACAGGGTTGGAACATACACTCATACGCACACTACATGGCCACAAACTATAGTCCCGCGGTTGGTTAACACTATATAAATACAAAGGATGTGGGACACGGGCAGCATGGATCTCACTGCAGGAAACATATGGTCACAACTGACATGGGAGTAGACACACACCCACACACACAGAAAGTGTGATTATTGTACATTAGACGCATGACGTTCAAACTTTTGGAGAAAATGTCAGAACAGAATAGCATAGAATAGACTAGACTACTATAGAATAGAATAGAATAGAATAGAATAGAATAGCTATATACACAATAAACTCATCCGAACAATGCAGTGAGGTCTCTTCCTGCACAGATGTTTTCTTGGAATCCCCCGAGACAAAGACCATAACCGCTCACACTTTTAGCCTACTTTTTCCTCTCTGTTTTTGCTCTCTCGCTCACTTTTTCTGTCTTACTCACAGACGGCTGGACAAAAAGACAGACACATGCATGCGGAAAGCCACAGTTCAGGAACAAAAATCAAGCTGACTTACCAAGTTTTAGACTGTGTTTCTGTCCCTGTGTGTAAGGTGTGTGTGAATTACATGAAAGTCATGAGTTATTCTCTACATTCTAAATGCAGAGACGAAACTGTTCTGTGCATTTCTACAGTGACTTTCTGAAGAACATGCAGCACATACAAAATATGTAGGCATGCATTACATATATTTCAACTGAAGTACAGCTTCAGTTAGATAAAGATGTCTTACACCACTATATATAAGATATAGTATAACAGTTAGTTCAGATGGCACAATCTGCATGCTGAGATCATCTAAACTAATGATGTTCAGTGTGATGCTCATTCTACCATTTAAGAATTATCTTTGTGCTAAGATGCTTTTGGGAAGACCAGTCCTGATTGGTTGAGAAGTGTTCTACATGTGCTATTAAAACAAATTTTTCACAGAAATACAGCTGTAACTGTATCATTCTGCTGTTCATCTTAACGACTCAATTTATGCCACAGCACATACAAAAACAGAAAATGGACAGATAACTCATATAGGATCTTATTTGATGAGAAGCCAGCTCGGCCACATTCTCAATCTGAAACTGGAATGAGACACACACAAATTAAAGGAATACAATCTGGCAAACAAAATAGGCTACGCAATGCTTTACAGACTGAGTGGAAATAAAGGGATTATATATTTCGTGACAGTTTTACACATCTATCTGTACAGCTAAAGCTGACCACTTTTTTGGCAGAATAAACTGCCAGCATTATAGCACATTGCTTCAATATTCAGGGTTATTTTGCTTTACACGGCTGTGATGTTATTCACAATAACATGACAGCTATGAAGATCTATGCTACTTGCTTTTGGCTGGTGCCTGCAATAGAACCACAGCCATGACGTATTCGCGAAAACACACTGCTTCTCATGTTCTGCTGCTTTTGTGAATGTATATGAGGGCGTATGTGTGCATGTCTGTGTATCACATCTGATCCTTTCTAAGGCCCCAAACACAGAACAGTGACTGCATTGTATACTTTGTGCAAGGGGGAGAGAGGGATCAAAAGGGGAAAAAAGAAAAGAGAAAAACTGCAGTGAATAGTGATGAGGGAGCAGGAACACGTGTAAAGGAGGACAGCTGAGTCACTCTGCCAAATGAAAGAAAATGATGACACATACGCAGCACAGAGTATCATCTTACAAGACGTACACTGACTCCAGTGATACTGCAACAAAATTAAACCTTAAATCTGCACTGGAGACACACTTTATTGTGGTGACAAGCAGTTTAACTTTTGTTCAAGTGTCATAAATTCTATGATTAAAGTAAAGCAAAGCAAACAGTTCAGGTGAACAAAAACAATGTTTTTTGTCAGTTCAAATCTCCGAAACATTTCAAATTAACCTCTACATCCATGCAAAGCTTAGAAGACCAGCGAAAAAGACTGGTATTTTGGGAATTTTGCCGTTCTGGTGAGGGCCCTATAGGCCTCTTGGTACATAAATTCTCATCCAGACATTCTCAAGACAACCTGCATTACTACACTCAAGCCTACTGGGAATGTGACTTATAAAGAGAACAGCTAACCCCCGGCGCACAATAAGTAAGCCCACACAGAAGGGGGTCTATCAACCACAGACAAAGCCAGTGTGTTAGAGCATGCTGTAAACGTGCTGACTAAGGGACACCAGCAAAGACACTTCTATAACACACCGATACACACACATACATGCAGATGAACACACACTTTGATGTTCATGCCAGCACTGAGATGTACCTAAGAAAACTGAACAAGGAAATTGAGTCAGATGTCTGAATAAGAGAGCCAACCTCCAGTAATGAAAATGTGAGCTGCAGGTCTGTCGGCTGTTACTGAATCCATACTTTCATTATTAGTCCGGTTTGGCAGTATCACTGGCCATATTTTTGTATGTGGTTGTATCTGTACTGGCAATCGTATTTGACCATTTACAGCAGAAATTTATATTAGTCAGTACTGTGGTAAGCTAAAGAAAAACTAATGGCGTCTTCACGTTTTGTCATATTAAAACTATATCCACCCAATTTTATTGGTTATCAGAATTTTTAGGTAATTAAAATTAGTCTCAGATTTAATCACAAAATATTCAGCAGTTGGACCCTACTCCAAACCAGAACCTCCAGGTTCAGTAACAATGCCTATGCAACTAAATGAGTCACAACATTTTAGTTAGCTCAAGTCTCTCAGTGCACTTGACACTTTAATTAAACTTCAATCAGTATTTTGACTTTCTAATTTGATTTTGCTCTTCTTCAGATGTTTCTTTAACCATATTAGCCTTGTTTGGACTGATGGATGGATGTTTTAATTGTTCTGTGTTGGGTTTTGAGCACACTATAGTAAATTCCTACCAGCCTTGTGGCTGATAAACCTGAACGCGTCATTGCACCTCACAGTAACAACCAGGGCGTTCAGTTTATGAGAACTGTCTGTGGGGATCATTAGCCTGCAGCAGAGACATTCCTGAATTCTGGACAGTAATGTTTCTGGCATGCCCTCCCACAGATAAGAACAGTGCTGATAGCGGGTCTCTTCTGTGATAACCAGGCTCAGAACGGAACTCACAGTGCAATTATGAGCTGAGAGAGAGGAGAGAGAGAAGCAAAAGACAGAAAGCAGTGGACAGCGGAAGAGAGAGAGAGAGAGAGAGAGAGAGAGAGAGAGAGAGAGAGAGAGAGAGAGAATAAGACAGTGAAGAGACAGAGAAAGAGAAAGCAAGGGACTACATCAGATGAGAGATACAGAGAGAAAGAGTGAAAGAGACAAACAGTGGGCAGAGAAACAGGGAAAAAACATCCAACAAGACCCCAATAAACCGCTCAAAACACCAAAGGCTCAGTGAAAATAAGTTAATACAGACTAATAAAACCTACGTCTACCCTTGTTTTCCTGAGCTCAGTAATCTTGCCTATCATCCAGTTTAGACTCATTTTAGCTCCTGAATCGTGTTTGTTAGCACCACAAGCTCTTCCTCCTCTGCTGCTCCTCACTCCAGCTCAAGCTCAGTCTTCAGCGTTCCTGCAGGTTCAGTACACTCGGCTGCAGTGCGCTATCAGGAACACTCAGACAGCACCAAACCCCCATCAGCCAGCCACGATAAAAACTCCAACGCTGCCGAACTGCGTATTAAACACTGTCACTTTCAACCGCTGTGAACAGCAGAGTGACGGTGGAATGCGTTCTGTATTACAGTGAATTAAAAAGACACGATCATCACCTCAATGAGAGTTAAAAGTTCCAAAGTGGTCTTACCTTAAGACTTTTTCACTCGAAGTGAAGACTTTTCACTAACAGTGGGTGAAATTTCTACTCTCTAATCCTCAGGACTCCAGCTCTGAGCTTGCGTTTGTTTCTACCGTCCACTCTCGAACATTTATCCTCCAGTACCGCTTGGGAAGGGGCGGGGCTGATGTTTGCGATGATGGTGGCAATGATGATGCTGCGTCCTGGGCGGAGTTTTTCGCGGACCTGTCCTGGGTGGGTATGTGGTATGTGCGTGTGTTGGGGTCAGACTTCCCTCAACATAGCACTGAATTAACGCAGGTCAGATTAGGATGTGTGTGGTCAGTGAGTAATACCCTGTCAGTGATGTAATCTATAAGGGGTAATGACGTTTTGTGCCAAGCGGATTACAAGGAATTGAATAAAAGAATGTGTAATAAGATATAAGAGCATTCTGAAACAACCAAGAGCACCTACTAGCAGGCTGTGGACCTCCAAAACCCCGCAATGGCTTCACTGTGTTCGTCCTGAGCGCTGATGGACACACACGGCATATTAACAAACTTGATGGTAGCCGAGGCCCTGAAACTGAGCTGAGCTGCCCAAAGTGTGGCCCATGAGGGCATTTGAACGTTACCCTAACAACTCCCCTTCATCCAGTGAGAGGACAAACATATTTTTAAACATATATAATTAAAATGTTTATTTTCCTTTTAAATTTATTTTGAAGTTTTAGCTCCAACATATAGTGTAATGCTATGAAAAACGTTTAGCACAAGTTTGAATTTGAAGCTTTCCTACCTTGTTTATTTATGCATTGTTTTTTCTTTTTGTCCCTAAGCCAACCCAAACACTGGACTTTGCCCCCAAAGCAAAAACTTCAGGCACTTCAGTTCTTAAGACTTATTAATCAGTTATTACCAGTGATTACAAGTGAAGCAATAAATGTGGGCCCACATACAGACCCTTAGGGTTTAAGGGGTTAACATGGACAGAAAAGACCAGGGTACATAGAAAAACAGTGCTTTGAATCGAGTAAACTGAAATGGAGATTACTGACAAATTAAATACCCTGCATAAACACCGTTGCTGTCTTTCAGTTTAGTTACCTTTAACAATTGTGTTACATTGTTTCACATCTATGAAGTTAATATAAGCAAAATGCAGTTCTCACTTCTACTAAAAAACTCAGCATGTCACAAGATCTAAATCTACTCAAAAATCTACTCTAAATCATTTCTGATCTTACGGCCAATCTCTATATCTTTCAGCCAACACTCGACCACACCGCAGACAGATTTTTTTTTTTTCATGATCACATAGACTGAATCTCAAATTCCTACACCCTATCTAGTGCATTATAGGTCATAAAATAACAGCTTCTACCCCCAAATTACATGCATTACATGTTGAATACAAAGTCTTGTGTGCATGTAAGGTAGGAGATAAAAGGACAGTAGAATGGTAGGTGAACTATCAACATGTAAAGACCATAGTTTTCTGACTTATGCAATGCACTAGAGAGTCGCTTGAGAATCAGCCATAGCATTTAGGAGTTTCTAAAAACATTACATGCCCTCTATGTAATAAAATGCATAGTATGATAGCTACATAGCCTCTAGACCACTATGTAAAGTCCCAGGTCTGAGAGTGCAGTTCTATGGCTCTGCAGTTAGACCCTTCTAGAAAATTGGCCAAACAGGAACTGTTTTTCACCTCTGCTAATGCGTTAGATTAACCATCAGCATATCTATGAAGTGACAGAAGAATCAACCAATCATATTTTAATTTCCAGTAGGTTGAACCAATTTTGTGAGAAAAAACATCACTCTAGGCCTCCAGATATGCCTCAGTTTTGACCGGGTTTGGATATTTATGGCCCAGACTAAAGGCCTAATAGTCACAATGGAACTAATCATCCAATATCAGTATCAATCCTGATCAGAATCAAATCATCACAGCAGTGTTCCAACATTTTGTGTTAAGCCCTCACAGAAAAGTAGAGGCTGTCACTGCAGCAAAAGGGGGGTGCAGACTGCCTATCAGTACCCTTGATTTCAGAAGAAATGCTAGATGAGCAGGTGTCTACAAACTTCTGGACATATAGTGTATTGTTGGCCCAAAGTGACGTCCCTGCCCAAGTTGAACTGTTAAATCATTGCTAATTAATCCCAGATGCTGGAAGCTTGTTTTTGACACATTGACTTATTGTCTGCAGATTCTTTGGCAGTATCACTATATGGATGACACAGATGCACTAAAGTGGCCTGAACATGCTACAAGGCCTGTTGGAGGGAATTCCTCACTTTACTGGAATGCTTTAAGCCTCTTGAGATTTATTAAGCTGTTTTCACAATTTCATACCTTTTATATATGCTAATCAACATTTATACCTTCTTACTGTACACATCTGGAATCATTCTTCATGACAGCTAATGTCCTGTGTGCTGTAAGTGTTATCCAGTCTCTATCAGAAGTAGAATGCTTCTTCTAATTCTATAAACATGTCTTAATTTTTCTGGTGGATTTGCCACCATGTACCAGGCCATTGTATCACCTAATAATTATATACATCGTAGCGTCCTGCTGCTGCCTGGCGCTGGCACCAAGAGACTCTGGAGGTGTGGCCAGGCAGATGGAAGGCTCATGGAAGCATGCGCCCTCCAACAAAGGGACTTGTCGTGTTGTTTGTGTTAATAGATGTTAGTTTAAGTTATGTGTACATATTTATTGTGTTATTAGTGATAGGCGCACTCAGGGCTGACACAGGTTTTCAATTGCACACAGGCAGCTTGTATAATTTCCATAAAATGCATTGTTGATAGAACAGAACCCTTTAGAGGAGCTGCACACAAGGCTAAGGTCACCATGCCCAATGCTGAATGTTGACTATAAGGGTATAAAGCCCCAACGTTGGTCTGTGAAACAGTGAAACTGTGTTCCTCGGAGTGGTGAAGCTCCATGCAATACATTTGGGATGACCTGGAGTGCTGTTTGTAATCCAGAACTGATCATTCAACATCAGTACCTGACCTCACTAATGCTGTGGTGTCTGAATGCAGTCAAATCCTCATAACAATGTTCTAAAATCTAGTGTAAAGTCTTCCCAGAAGAGTAGAGGTTGTTGCTGCAGCAAAGGAGGATAAACTCCTTATTAATAGCCTTGATTTCAGAAGATTGAATGAGAAGGTGTCTAAAATGTATGTATATAAAGTGTACATTAATTGCTATGGGAAGTCTACATGTTATATTTTTTGTATGATTTCATATGAATATAGTCTTAAAGGACAACCTGTTTGAAATGACTTTGTCCATTTTAAGTGACTCAGGCATGTTTACATTTTGGACTATGTATCACAAATGTTATCACTCTGTATCACTTTCCAGTACTCATGCTAACAGGAAACGACTGCATAAACACAGTGGGAGAAGTTGGGGGCATTTAAGCAGGACACCACTTCAAGACCAGCGTCATTCTCAGGATCAGTCAACAACCAGAGTGACCAGCATCATCACTGGATTGTTTTTCCTATTCGTCACAAACACAAGTGATCAAATACATTTTTTAGTTGTGGTAATGTGGGAAAGGCTAAACTGATTTGTGTTGTGTATCTAGAAGATCATGGGCTTATGTAAGAATAATTTGTTTACTAATAATTATCCACACACCAACTGGGGAATTCAAAGCGGTTAACCTACAGTCCAATGTTATAAGCATGTAGACATAATTCAAAGAAAGTAATATATGGCCATAATTAGCTATCATCATCAACCAATGTTAATGATCCATATCAACTATTATCGCATTAGAGTCTTTGAGGTTTAAAACGACCTAAATTGCTTCTACAGAAAGACTCTAAATTTGCCAAGTGGAGTAGGGTAAATCAAGAAGCCCTATTTTAGCCCATGTCAGACTGTGCTGTAGAGTCAAAAGCCAATCTCATCTAATCTGAATTTCTATTATTAATCATTCCAGTCCAATCCTAGATTAATCATAAATCATACATTTACGTTTCTGCCTGGAACTGAACAGCAGGAATCAACACTCAGTCAGATGATCTTCCAGTGAAGAAAAAAAGAAGTGAGAAAAAGCTGCAAAGGAAACTCGAGCATGAAAGGTCAGTTTTAGACTTGTGTATATCCGTCCACACAGGGAGGTACCACAGGATACATGCACTAGCTTATTACACTAGGAAATGAACACACGGGCGCAGCAGTGTGTGCTGAGTGATGGAGAAAAGAGGCAAAAAGGAGGTTTAGTGAGTGTTCAGTAGAGCAGGTAGAGCCACAAATTCACATTTAAGTGCTTTTTCTCCTCTTATCTCATATTATTCATTACATTGTAATGATTTGTATATTACATATTTGATAATAATCACTGCATAAAAACTAAAAAAGGAAAATAATGATAAACTAAAATGTCTAATAATAAAAACTAAATAACTAATATCTAAAACTAATAATAAAAACTAAAGGATATATTTAACACTTTGAGTGTTCAGCTTTATAATGGTGTTGTAACTTTGCCTAGCTTTTTGGTGTAATTTAGTACTTCACACTTAAGTTACATTTTATTGTCTTTTATTTTTTGCTAGATTTTAATTTTAATTTTAAATTCAGTCTTTTTATCTTTCAGTCTTTCTTCTTTGTGTTTTTTTAATTGCAATCTAACTATTGTTCTTTCTTGTGGAGCACTTTGTAAACGTGTTAGCTGTGCTGTATGAATAAAATGTATTACCCTTATTAGTGGTAGTAGTATTAGTAATAGGCTAGTAGTATTATTGATAATGTCCAAAATGTTTTAAAGTCTTGTTCTTTTTTGTGCATTTAATCCGTAACTAGGTTTGCGGACTCCACCTGACAGAAATTAAACGCGTTTGTTCCTAATCACAGGCTAACCAACAACAGCAAAACCAACCACAGGTTAGCCAGTCATAGACTTACTATTCACAGACTAACCAATCATAGGTTGGCTTTTACGTGTCGTCTTTTTTTCTCTGCAGAACCCTTAAAAACAAGAGACAGAAGCTTGTCACCTAAACCACCGACCCCCCTCCCCTACACACACCTTCTCCGTTTTATTACAAAGATTCACGAATATATCATCACTATATTCGCTGTGAACACTCTGGCTGAGAGTACTGCAGAATAGCGTCCATTAAG